ATTCGCTTGAAAGTACAAGTGTAATAGAAGGTTTCCCAGGAATTAAACGGGTTTCTAATTTAAAACGAAATTTGCTAAGTTTTCGTGCTTTGATAGTTTCAATTTAAGTATTGAATGATGTTTACGCGAATGTTTGCGCCAATTTAACTTTACGCGAATGAGGCAAGTTATATACTTTTGAGAAAAAATTAAAAAAGAACCGACCGGCGCCTTTTGAGTAAGTTAATTGCGATATTTGCCCAATTATCTAATTATATTTGCCCAAAGAATCTTATTCGGGACACGCTCTATTACATTTTTACCTTAATCGAGAAAAATCAAATGGCAGTTGGAACATTCAGTTCAAAGTTTTGCCTTGTTACGAGCTGCCTTCTTTACATCGATTTTCAAAAACAAAACATGAAACATGAAAACTCTCAACATTTGTTCATTTGGAATTTAAACTTTCATTAACCGTAAAACCTATTATTATCTTAAAATGCAGTATTCCAAAAACATTATAATGGGATGCACCCTTATTGGTTTACTTGGTGAAAATTGCGTTTCAGTTAGCAATTTCAAAAAATGACCTCCAATTTTCATATTTACAGTAAAGTTTTGATTTTGGGCAATTCATAACATACAGATGCAATTTCACATCAGATTTGTAAGCCAACTTAATTTGCACTCTTCCGAACAACATATTATATGCAGAATAAATTTTTAATTGTTCAATTGGCTACATATAAGGTTCCCCTGCAGATAAATTAGGTGGGGATTTGTACCCCGCATTGAAGTTCCATAGATAAAAATCAATTATTAAGGATTTTTTTATCCTCTCCAAAAAAACATCTAAAATAATCGATTATTATAAAGAATTAATAAAAACAAATAAGTTAGAGATCACTTTGATTCATTATAATTGAGGGGAGTGAGGGAAGGTTGGGTGAAGGGGTAGGTGGCGTATTAAGGTTGGGGATGAAAGTGAAATTTGGCGTGTTCAACTTGAGTGTTAAAATTGAGAAGAGCTGGGTTTAAATTGTAAGGAGTATGGGTTTGCAAAAATAAGTTGATACGATTTAAGAATTGACCAGCTAGGACTGTGAATAATGCAGAAAAAGCTGCAAACTTTGCAGAAAAAATGAAAAAGTTTTATAGAGACTATAATCCATTATAAACTACTGTAATGCAGTTTAAATGGATTATAATTGACTTAATTTCTCTAACAATAAGAGATTATTGTGGATTACAACTGATTGCGCGGTCCCAAAGTGTAATTATAATCATAATGGCAAAACTTTGGCCACGAAAATTGATTTTAATCGATTAGTATCAATCATAATGGCAAAACTTTGGCCATGAAAATCGATTTTAATCGATTAGTATCAATCAATCCAGGGCTAATTCGTAGTTATACCGGGCTTCGCTCTGACAGTTTTGTCAGCATTCAAAGTAAAAACAGTTCATTTCGAAACTAACCAAAACCCCTCTACTTATATGTTCGCCGGTTCAAGTTTACCAGTGTTGACCGATTAGCTATAACTGACAAGATTTCAAAATATAAAACTAATTGCGGTTTCTGAATTTCCTAGAGGAGCTATCAAGATGCCTTAACAGATATGCCTAGGGATAGTCTGTTTTTGTGTTGTATCGCCACATTCAGCGAAATTCTTTCCTTGCGACTCAAGGCCGAGTCTAGAATTATTTCAAATGTGGTACGATAGAACTTAAAAATTGTACCAATTTCACGTTGAATTGCTACTTACTGAGTTTCAGATTCCTCAAGTTCGACAAATGCAGACATGATCAAAGACGGAATGAATAGCACAGTCATGGTCACAAGCAGGACAGTCCAGGCAATTTTTGGCTTCTTGAACTTCGTCTTGTAGCTCTGTGGGTAGAGAAAGCAGACGCATCTGTCAATGGCTATGATCGCAATTATCCAATATGTTGCATATGTCGTCAAAAAGTCAAAACTGGCCTCAAAAACAAAAAATAGACTAAGCTAACCTGTATCATAAAAAGCAATGGGGGCGTTTAACAACAAATAAATCAAGCAGAGATCATGTATAAAACAACGGACATTATTTTGCCTAAGAAATGACATATTTAAGTATCTTAATCTTAAATCCTAAATCTTAAAAATTATCTAAACTTTATTGTTGTCATCATGCAATCATTTGCGTCGTGTTGAACACATGTAGAATTGTGAACAGATACTTTTTTCATACGTTACTTCACACTTAAAACATATATAAAACTGAAAACAATGAGTTTGGGGGAGGCGGTTGAAAAACAGGAAAAGGTGAGTGGAAAATGGAAAAAGTTTCTTTTTTTCTTATTGCAACTGATTACTATGATGAATCGCAACTGACTAATATGGTTATGAATGCATAGAAAAGTGTCCTACCGAATATGCAGACTTTGTTGTTGAAGTCGAACACTCTTCTCTTCTTCATGCAGTCCAGTCCATCGACGAAGGCGTCTAGCACTATCGCTATACTGTCAGCCACTGTCAGAGCTAGAAAACGAAAAAAATAATAGACAAGACTAAATTGCCTTTCAACCGAAAGGCATTGGAACGTGATCTAAACTACATTTTATAATTGGATAAATTGGAAAGTTCACCACTGTAAAATATTTAATATTAACCAATCATAATCCATCTAACTAACAACCCACTCATTTGTAAGTGCTGAAATTACTTGTAATTTCAGCACCAGAGAGATTTGAATTTAACTTAGAAATTAGTTGCCTCTCCAAGAGAACTTCAGCAGTTGCAATAAGCCAGTATACTCTAGATCTATTGAGCCTAGCAGAGACTAGTTAAACACCCTGAGACTAATAGATATAAGAGTAAGATTAGGA